AGTGTTTGTGCGGCGGCGGTGCACGGCAGACACGTGCACACACATGCCGCATGCACGGCGAAATCGCCGTGTACCCACATGTTTGGCAGATGTCTGCAGGTGTGTCCCCAGGGGAAGCAAGCGTGCGTGTGCGCTCGCCTGTTTTGGGCGAGTGCCCAGTCAGCTTTCGCTGTGGGTCAGGTGTGCGCACACGCGTGTACCGAAATGCCGAGTGCCCTTCTGGAGGGTCAGACACACCTGGGGGAATCGCAGGCGCACGTGGCTGCCTGCCTGCGTTTTGGAGGTGGGTGCGCCTGTGGTGTAGGTGCTGTGTGTCTGGGAAGCGTGGCTCAGTGTTTCGGGGCGGGGAGCATCTCCAGTGGTGTGTGGACACGTGCAGATGCTGGGCAGTGCCTGCAGAAGCACCAGGCTAAGCGCTTGCTTCTGTGCTGTTTTCGGGCCTGCCTAATCCAGCGCAGGCACTTTCTCCTCCTCTTAGCAGGAGAAAGCAGGTAGGAAGTTGCTGTTTGCTGGCTGGCATCTCCTAAAGGAAGGGGCTCTGCTCTCAGCACTTCTACACCTGTATGTGGAGCCATCAGCTGTTTTTGCCTGGTCATTTGCTTCACAGTCCTCAGTGCATTTTGGGGAGCTTCCCAGCAGCTCAGATCCCTGTTTCCCTTGACAGCTAACGCAGGCCTTGCCATGGCTGGGGGACAGCTGGGAGATCTGACAGTTCAACGCCGTTCAGGATGTGCGGGAGCAGCATGGTGTGCCCAAGCTTAGCTCCTGCTGTTGGCTGATTTGCTGTCTTCCCTCGCCAAACCCCCTCCTTTCCCCTCCTCTCCGGGGGTTCAGATTGTAGGGCAGTCTCAGGAGAATAGCTGGGCCCCTCCAGGAGACCCGTCAAGGCAAAATACTTCCCGGAGATGGGCACCCAGATCCCTTCCTTGGTCTGCCAAAAACTGCTTGCCTTGCAGGAAGCCAGCCTTTCTCTGTTTCTGTGAGCCCAGTTGCAGCACCGATTCCCTAAGGGGAGCAGCCCTTGAGCCAGCCGAGACCTGGGGTGCCTGCTGCGTCCAGCTGCGCGACCCAGGGCTGGCCCCACAGCTACAGCACTGGAAAAGGAAAAGGTGACTACAGTGAAGAGGGGCCTGCTGCCTGTGTGGCCCCACATCACTTTGCCTGGCGGGGAGTGGGGGCTTGGCTGGTGGAGCTGTGTGCCTTGTGATCCCGTGTGGCGCTGCCCCCGGTTCCCCTGCCCGGCTGTCGCCTGGCTCCGAGGTCGCAGCAGCACACGTCAGGCTGAGCAAGGGACTTGCCAGGGCTGCCCGCTGTTGGGCTTGAATTTCCCTTTCCCTGCCTCCTGGTGGCAGCCTGCTGGGCTGGGGGGAGCCCCAGCACCCCAGGAAGGGCAGTCTCAGCGCCCTGGGGCAGTAGGGTGGTCAGGCACGGTGCTGTCAGGATCTTGCTAGCCAGTTGCAGCACAGCTGGAGAAGGATGTGCATTTGCTGCCGCCAAACCTCCACTGAGCTCTATCATCTGCCCTCATGTGCCTCCCCAGGGACTTGCTGGGAGGCTGCATGCTGCCCCTAAGCTTTGCAGGCACCCAGAAGTTTGGGCGCAGGTGTGTTCAGGCTGGTGCTGGCAGCTCAGCTTTGAGGAAGTTCCTATGATGGATGATCCAGGAAGAGTCAGAGGTTTGAATTCCTGCGTATAAGGAAAGGCTCAGGAAATCTCCCCAGGACTTGCAGAGCCTCTCGAGGAGATGTTAGGTGGTTCCCTATCAAGTCCTTGTTATTCCTTCTGCAAATTGTCATGGACTAAGGGGTGCACCTGTTGCTATAGGTCCCAGATGCTAAACCATGACAGAGGACAGGGCCGTCAGCGGCCTGTACATAGCCTCTTAATTTGCAACCATGTTCTTGGGACATTGTTAAATGAATGGGAACAAATGTCTTGGAGCATGATGGACTGGAAAACAGCACGGGGAATTTCAGCAATTTCAGCTGACCTGTCTGTCTTTGTTGAAGAGCCAGAAAGGAGAGAGCTGAGATCCAACGGCTGGACTTGGGGTGGGGGGGGGGGGGGGGGCGC